AGGAATCAATCACTCGATACTCGAGGCATGATGCATCCGATCGATCGATAGCATTAATCACCACTCGGTTTCCTCTTTATTCAGCCGCGTTTCAGTTTGCAATAGTAATCTCTTCCTCGCAGCAGGATACCGCGGAACGCAATAATACACCATGGAGTCTAACACGCGACTAATAACCGTTTACTCGAAAATTAATTACCAGATTATGACAAATCTTCATCCTCGTTCGTCGAATTAAGGGTGTAATCCGATTACTCGAGTAATTCGACCAATAATCGGCCATCCAATTGTGAAGTATACGATAAAATTGCGCACTTCTCGAATCACTCGGCCGATCGTTAAATTGAATTAGTTCCTCGAATCGCGAATCCTTCGTCATCGCGGTGTAATTAATCATTGGCTTAGAAAAAAGAGTACCACCGTCCGCTTCGCCATCATTGTGCAACGGTGTATAGGTATCGGTTGCTCTCGAGCACGACATCGGTGTGAGGAAATGTGAATGTGGGATCGGGGGGAGGGAAAAAAAGAGCGCGTCGAGTGTAAAGATAGAAAGTTCGACGCGAGAAATTGACTCGATCCGATCCGATCGAGCTCGTTTACGGAAAAGAGAGTGCCGAGATATGCGTGAGGATAATTGCCAAGGGGGCTGAAATTAAATGTACGCTCGTGCAAAATAGGTGCAAAAAAAATTTTTCCCTCCTCATTTTTTTTTTTTTTTCTAAAGGCTGATCAGAGTTGGAATTATCAGATATACGGATTACAATTTTTTCCCATTTCTTTTCGCTTGGAAAATTTTTTCCAAATCATCATAATTTAAACTAATCATTACTGTTTTACATGAAATATTGTTTTACTTTATTTCCGCAATTCGAATTCAGTATAGCCCATTTTCCAGTCAAGATAAAATTTACCTCGTTTCAGAAAAATTTCAAAATCTCTCTCGTGACTCTTATACCCTATAAATAAAAATTTCAAGTTCGATCGTATCCATTCTAATTAGTTTAAAATTAAAATTCATAAATTCGACACTTCGATGAAAAAGCCGTTTTTGTCATCGAGACAAGTAGCGGAAAGCAGGAGAAAAATTCGAAATTCCCGCTGCTTTCTCTCGTACTCGTGCGCGTCGAGGCGGACAGAAGCCGGATAATCGATTCGTGGCAATCGACTTTCAACGTTTATCGCGGAGGAGATCGCGGCTGGGCCGCGTTCGCGGATCTATCCGCACGTTTGAACGATTTGCTTCGTGGCGGCGATCGATTCGATCGATCGAGGCCGAACCTAATCGACGAGGAACACCGGCACTTTAATGAGCGTCCACCGAAATGTCACCGGTGCCGGTGAAAGCTGGAAAACGAATTCTTCCGATGACATTTCGCAACGTTCTCGCGCGCGCATTGTTGCTAATCGTCGAGCAATCGAAGAGGATCGACGAAAAAAATTGTAGAGAACAAACTCTATTCTAAAAAAAACATTTCTTCGATATATTCTTCTGCTGTTCAAATGATATATAGATAGTCCATCTTTAAATAATTTTCGATTATACTCAATACATTGTGACGATGACAACTTTTTTTCATATTTCATATTTGATCTTTTAGAAAACAATCTAATAAAAAAAAAAAAATGAAAATAGTACAATCTTATGTATTATCCATTGTGATGACATTGTAATGACAATTTGCTTTCATATTTCATATTTCACGTAGCCAATCTATCGATTTTACTGATAATGATCTAATAAAATAAGAAAATGAAAATAGTACAATCTTATGTATTATCCATTGTGATGGCATTGTAATGACAACTTGTTTTTATATTTCATATTTCACATAGCCAATCTAATGATTTTACTCATCTTTTAGAAAATAACCTAATAAAAAAAATGAAAATCTTATG